TGTCACAGCCACCGTGGAAAACAGTCTGGCAGTTCCTTGAAAGGTTAAGCAGTTACCAATTGACCCGTATTTTGGAATACTATTCAACCTTAAAAACAAATAAGTACTGATGCATGCTATAACATGGGTGAGCCTTGACAACAATACACTAAGTGAAAAAAGCCAGACACACACAAAAAACACAGATTGTATGGTGCCATTTATAGGAAATGTCCAGAAAAGGCAAAGGCATTGAGAATGAATGTAGATTACTGTTTGCCAGGGCCTGTGGGCAAAGACTGGGAAAAAACTAGGTGGGGCGGAGGAGGGGTGCAGGTGGAGGTGGCAGGGTAACTGTTGATAGGTACAAAATTCTTTTTTGGAGTGATGAAAATGTTCTAAAATAGACTGTGGTGATGACTGCACAACTTTGTATGTTAAAAACCCCTGAACTTTACACTTTAGCTGGGTGAATTGTATTATGTGTAAATTATATCTCCATAAAGCTGGTTTTTGAAAAAGTGCCACTTGGGGTGTCTTCTGCCACAGGGTTACATTGAACTGAGACTACTCTGTTTCTTAAGTCTCCATACTTGAATGCAATAGTGACTTGTGGAGAGCAACTCCTGCAAAGACTCCTTAATCCCAGGGAGCTAGCTATTCTCTACAGGAAAAGAGGAGCTCTTAGTTTTTAAAGCTGGAACCAGGGCCAGGCTCTCCTTTGACAGCTGAGGATTCTGCTGCCTGAAAGGGATCTTAAGGTGAGGAGGGCAGAGCCAGTGCAGCTTCACCTCCTACTGAGTTCATGGGTGTATCTCTTCCCAGGAGGAGCGCGAGGCATCATAGGAGAAGCCTAGGACCAGGTGCTGCTCCGGGAATGGCTTCCCTACCTGCTCTGTGCACGAGGAGAAGTGACCTAGAGGACTTAGGGGCTGTCTGCCCTTCCACAGCCACTTATCATCACTGGTGTGCATTCCCTTTACACCACCACCATTAAAGCTCGACCTCCACTCACTGACTGGGCCACTCTGGAAAGCAGCCCAGGAGAGCAGGGATGGCATGGGCTTTGAAGCCAGATGGCCCTCAGGCTTGTGGTCCACACAGGTCACTCCTGTGTGAGTCTGGAGGTAATGTCACCTGCCCACAGGGTAGTCAGGGTGCCTTGAGATTACGTGAGATGGCTCATGTGGAGTACTCCGGACAGTTTCTGGCACAAAGGAAGCTCTCAGTTACTGTGAGTTCCCTTCCTCCTCCCTTTCCTTTTGAGTTCTGGAGGTCAGATATGGGTCTGAGGGCAAGAAAGCTCAACAT